CTTAGCAGTAATAGAGGCCGCGGTGGCTCAGAGGTTAAGACACTGAGTTGCAGACCAGAAGATTGGTAGCTCGGCAGTTCAAGACCCTAGTGCTGTGTGACAGAGTGAGCTCCTGTCTCTGGCCTCAGCACCTGCCAGCCTAGCAGTTTGAAAGCAAGAAATTGCAAGTAGATAAATAGGTACCGCTTTTGTGGGAAATAACAGTGTTCGGTGGTTAGTCATGCTGGTCACATGACCACAGAGAAGTCTTCAGACAACCCTGGCTCTTCGGCTTGGAAACGGAGATGAGTACCGCCACCTAGGGTTGGATTCGACTAGCTTTCGAACAAGGGAAACCTTTACCTTTAATAGGAGGTGTTCCCCACCACATACAAATGGAGGGTTTTTCAAGCAGTGGAGAGTAATGCTTGGGGGGGGGGGAGCATAACAACCCACCCACAAAACCCCCAAAGGAACTCCACCTTCCTTGTCAGTTACAAAACTACAAAAAGCCTTGTGAAGGGTAGGGGGATAATGTATGACCTTAACTGGCAATGCAATCCTATCATTCTGGCCATCATTTTCTGCCAGGGAATATGCGAGTTGTACTTGTCAGTTACAAAACTACAAAAAGCCTTATGAAGGGTAGGGGGATAATGTATGGCCTTAACTGGCAATGCAATCCTATCCTTCTGGCCATCGTTTTCTGCCAGGGAATATGCGAGTTGTAGTGTTTTTTTCTCCTTCCCAATTCAATTCAGGAGGAAGAGAAAAATATAAATCCCAGCCAAAAGTGATGACCCAAAGCATGGGAACTGTATTGGCCGTTTAAAAAAGGAAGAAGAAGCTGTTACACAGTGATTATGTTCTGTATCTAATAAACCCTTGCAGTTGCCATTTTCTTGCTTAGGAATAAAGGGTATTAGCAAGAAATGACTCACAGTAGAGACAAGTCCATTTTAAAATGGTTGAGGCTTTTTGTTTAATCTTTTTTTTCTTTTGCATTTCAAGCATTTGAAATTTCTTGGCATCATTAGTACTTAGCTTTCTTCATTTAGACAATCACTCAGTCTTTCATCTGCTGTGGGGTGGCACAGCCTTTGTATAACACACACTGGCACTTGGCCAACAAGAGAACAGCTTGGTTTTTAAGAATTCAGTTCGTTATTGAGCAAGCATACCTATTCTTGGATGTGCAGCTTAGCTTTTGGGCTGCCCAAGGCCTATTGAAGAAGTTATCCGTAAGCTTACAGACCACCTCCAATCTGATAGGTTCAGTGAGCCTAGGTATCATTTCTAGGCATCCAGTCTGGCAAACTGATTGGCTGGAAGTTGTTTGCGCTTAGGGAGGAGTTTCTCACTGTTATTTCTCTGAAAGCTTATATTCTTTGTTCCTAACTGTGTTTTTTCTCTGCTTCCAACATATTCCTTGCTCTTATTTATGTATTTATTTATTTATTTAATTTGTACCCCGCCCTCCCCGCAAGTGGGCTCAGGGCGGCTTACACAGTTGGTACAGAAATACCAATAAACAAATAAATTAAGTTAAAACAATTCAAACGAATCATAAAATCATAAAGTGCTAGTGATCCTTCATTAGTTACTTAAGGTGGCGTACTAAAAATGTTTGCAAGCAGACAGTCCAACTCGGTGGTCTTAAGTCACATGATGGTATAGGCCAGATGTTAAGGTGATGGTAGTATTCAGGGTGGCTCCTAGTTGAAAACATGGTGGAAGAGCTCCATCTTGCAGGCCCTGCAGAACGGTAGAAGATCCTGCAGGGCCCTGATCTCT